AAAAAAAAAAAAAGGAAGAAAATGGGTATGTAGTTGAGCAAAAACAAGCATCGATAAAGCAAAGAGTTTGCCAGAGAATGAGAATACCGTTAAACAAACGAGAGAAGCTTCACATATTGACGACAAAAATAACTCAAGATCCCGGTAATAGGTAAATTAGCCAACTTATCAAGAAAGGTTATGACGTACTATAAAATGTCTCTCAAGTCCTAGAGCACCTAACACAACCATGATCGACAGCCTTATATAATTCCATCAGTCTAAGATCTTCTAATAACCAATCTATATCTATATCTATATAATGGACCAATTCATATTGACATAATTGGCATGGTTTTGGGCGGGAAAATAATTTTTTTGTCTATATTTGACATTTAATTAATATTTATATATAGGCAAATCTTACATATGAAAAAATAATTACTTTTTGTGTACTCAATGACCGATACTCATTAACTATACATTGACTTAAATAGAATTATTCTGAATATAGATTGAATATATATATTTTCAATAATATCTTAATATTTATTTCATAGTAATTTATGGGCAAAATTAAAAATAAATTATATTATGAAAAATGATTTGATTAAATCAATTATCATATATGGTTGTAGATAGTAATTTAGTAAGTTATATTTACCAATATAAGTAGTTATATATACAATAACTAATCAAAATAATTATGTTTGAATCACACTAATTTAATGAATACAATAAAATATTAATAATTTATTCTAAATGAGTCAACGTAACCATAAAAAATGTAACCTCCATTGACTATCTAATTTGTAATGATAATACTATTAAAAATTAAAATAATATAAAAATAATATTTCATGGTCGAGTACAAATCAGAATTATATATTTCATCATAGAGATATCTATGTACATTAAAAAAACTATTCGATATTTGTTTAGAAATAATTTTTATTATATTATAATATATTTTATAAAGTAAAATAAGTAAATAAAATAGTCCAGTATCATAATTTAATTATAGCACATACTAATCATAGAAATATATAATATATCTATATTCGAATGGATACTAACTTATTATTTAGGTTGAAAAAATAAATTAAAATAATTAATAAGAATAGAAAATATAAAATAAATGAATTTTAACCATGAAAAATTTGTGTTGCATAAGGATTATAGGTACTAAAAAATAAAAATTTAACTATTAAAAATTTTACCATTTAGACTATAATAAAGGAAGATAAATATTATGGGTTAAATGTTGGTCAATTATCGAACAATGTGAAAAGTATGAATTGTTAAAAAAGTTATAAGAAGATAATCGACAATTTGAAGTACATGTAAGTAATTTGTGTGCAAATATCATATTATCATATATATTTATAATATTTTATAAAGTTATAAATAATAAATTTTATATATTAAATTGCCAAGACTTATAAAAAAATTAAAAATAAAACAAATTAATTATAGTAAACAAATAAATTTTATAATACTGAATTAAATATTTTGTGGACTAGAATTGCATTCTGTCTTTAATAGTTTAGTAATATTTAAATAGTAAAATATTTATGGTATTATAACTCGTGCATTGCACGGGTATCAACAATAGTTCACATGGAAAACCTAATCAACTTAACTATAATAATTAAGAAAATGTCATAATTTAGTCACTTGGAGATTACAGTAAATCCATAAGATCAAGTTAAGTATATTATGTATGATTCACCATCACATCAACCTACCTTCCCCTGAGTTCCATTGGCCCTCTGAGCATGAAGAAGATCCATCAAATAGCTTCTCTTGTCACCTTCCTGAACGTATTCCACTCTCTGAACAATTAAGTCTGTACTGGAACCAACCCTTCCAACTGCCAAAAATATGTAATTTGAAAGAAAGTCTGATGCCATTCTCTGCAAGCCCAAAAAATAAAAAATTAGCAACTAAATAGTGTTCTTCACTGTTATAGCAAGCATCAAATGGATATAGCCATGCCTGATCTAGTTTAAAAATTGGTTACACCCGTTTATTCTCTAAGTCGGAAAGATTCCTGCTCCATTTTCCATTCAGATATTTTTACCTCATCAATATTTTGTTAAAAGTCAAATTAAACCATAAGAAATTTGTGGTCACTCAATTCAAACATCAAAAGGGATAAGATTTGAAACTGTCATGTATAAAGCACCGTGTAGAACCAAAGACGACAAGAACTGATTCCACCAACTCTTTTTCCTTTCTTTTCTCCAAGTAAACTAGATAAAAATAACAAACACCTGGATTTCTTTTGGGAAGGTGGCACTAAATAGCATCGTCTGTCTCTCCCCACGAGGTGGCATATCCATTTGTTCAACTATCTTTCTGATTTGAGGCTCAAAACCCATATCAAGCATTCTATCAGCCTCGTCAAGTGCCAAATATCGTATCATTTGTAAGGAGACCTTGGCTCTCTCAAGCAAGTCAACCAATCGTCCGGGAGTCGCCACAAGAATGTCAACTCCCCTTTCAAGTTCACGAAGCTAACACAGAAATTAATGCAAGTGAGACTATTTAGTCACCTGTAAATTTTAGCAATTGTATCCATTGGCTATGCATGTCTGCATACCCAGTTTTCTTACTGTTGCACATATGTGATATTTAGATAAGTTGAAGGATGTAATTGTTAAAATGTAGGGACACAACCTCAGGTTACTTTGTAATATTAGAGAAGTTAGTGAATGTAATTGTAAAATGTGAAAGGGGAGATAAATATGCAAAACAGGGAAATTTTCAGGTTGTAATTACATAACCCTTTACGATTAAGACCAAGTTGAGGCGATATATATATATATATATATATATATATATATATATATATATATATATATCAATGCCAAACAATGAGAAATATGCAACACAGTGGAAATTTCTTAAGGTAAGAAGAGTACAAATAGGAAATTTGTGTTTAATTACACATACAGAGAATACAGAGAGAGCGAGAGAGAGAGAGAGAGAGAGAGAGTTTGGTGGGTAAGAGAGAGATTCTACATTTCCAACAATGCCAGTGTTACACATAAAATAAAAAATAAAAAATATATCGAATGGAGCATACGAGTATCCTTGGTAGCATTACGTTTAAAAACATCCCGGCCATGTGAAATAATCAAAATTCATCCAAACTGATACATATGAACATAAATTCAATGGATACATGATAACCAAGATATTTTTAATGTCAAATCTTTTTGTAAATTACTAATGCAAACTCATAGATGCCGATTGTCCGTCTCAATATAGTTATAAGCTACAGCAGCACCAACACTAGTGTACAGGATCCTATTAGTTATTATAGTGTCATAAATTTTCATATGGAACTCAACAACCCACGACATAAGTGTTTATCACAATCCAGTTGGTAATAATATACATAATTTTGGGAATATCACAAAAAATGTAATTTGAGTCCAAGATTAGCCGATACACTAAATTAAGGAGATTACAGGGATTGACTGAGCTGACTATCATTTGAAATCATTTTCATAGTAATTTGATTAATGAGTGATACTATTCCCTCAATTTGATATCGGCTTACTTTGCGTATTTAGCTGAATTATATTGATCTAGGAGATTGCGTTGTGAACTCTACATAAAGAGGATTTATTTTAAAGCATGTATAATTTAAATTCATTTTCCAATAACTTCAATCTCGCATTCTCGCTTTGATGCGATATTTTCTTAAAGAACAATTTGAAAACCAAATACTACTGATAAATGTAATAATTGAGAAAAAAAAAAAAAAAAAAAAAAAAAAAAAAAAAAAAAAAAAAAAAAAAAAAAAAAAAAAAAAAAAAAAAAACCAACAACAACAACAACAAATGGACTAGTAAATCCATCTAATTTATTCACTTTAAAAAAGAAAAACAAATGGACTAGTAAATACATCTAATTTATTCACTTTAAAAAACAAAAAACAAATGAACTAGTAAATTCATCTAACTTATTCACTTTAAAATTAACATTATAACCAAAAAAAAAAAAATCTTGCAACCACTTAATTAATCACCATATTTTCCAAATATTAAGCGCACGATGGAGAAACCAACATAATTGTGTAAGTCAAGCATTTCAACACATAGAAAGTAGATATAGTCCAACAGGTTATCAAACAACACAGGTTATCAAATCGAATATGTTTCATGCACATTCCCATGTGAATGAGTGTGTGCGTGTATGAGAGAGAGAGAGCGAGAGGGAGAGAGATTTTGTGTATATTTTCATTATAAACTTGGGTAGCTTCTGGCACTTGAGTTACAATTTATTAATGCCCTAGCACAGTTCTACTTAGAGAATCAAATCCATGGTGCTCTGAAGATTGAAGCCATGTTAAAAAAGAATCACGCAGGAAAATCAGAGTTCTTGATAAATGAATCAAATAGTCGTACCAACACGGCAATCACATACATTAACCTTGGCCCTTCAACATGCCATCATGCATTAACAAGTCACGACTAACCCACAGAATCTAACTGGACGTGGGAAAAATAAAAACACGTACAACAAAGCCAATACAAACCTGCTGATGTATAGGTGCTCCTCCATATGCAACAACAACCCTGACACCAGTTTGATACGCAAACTTTCTAGCTTCATCATGTATCTACAAACCAAAAAAGAAAATTTAACATAAGCATCAAAGCAGAACAAGAATAATCATTCACTAAATCAAACCAGTCCACCTGCATGGATAGTTCTCTAGTCGGCGAGAGAATAAGAGCCAGCGGGTAAACCGTACGAACCCCACGCTGCCTCTGAGACAAATGACCTTTCATAATCCCACTTATAATCGGGAAACAGAAAGCTGCAGTCTTTCCCGACCCAGTCTGAGCACAAGCCATCAAATCCCTTCCAGCCAGCGAAATTGGCATAGCATGCCTCTGTACAGGAGTTGGCTTAACATATTTGCACCTGCGGATATTAAGATTCACCGCTTCCCCTAAATCAATCTCGGCAAACGTGTTCACAGGCGGTGGAACATTATCACCGCTCGTCTCCACAGGGATATCCTCATAAGCATCAAAGTTAATTCCAGTATTTTCCTGTTCACTGAAAACTCGGTCGGCATCAGAGTCCACATCATCATTACCAAAAGGGTTGACTTCCCTTTCACGACTGCCACCTCCCCAACCACCTCTACCACCAGCCCCACGGCCGCCGCTGTATCCCTGGCGCCCATGATCGGGCCTGGAGTTGGGCCATCGGGACCCACTAGTGGGCCCGCTGTAATTGGACCTGTCTGGCGCGCCGCCAATGGACGGGGCAGGTGGGGCCCGGTTCCTAAGGTGCGGAGGGACATATGAAGGCTTAGTGGGAGCTGGCGGGCGCTCATTGCCGCTACTAGGACCAGCTTTATCAGAAGATCCAGTGGCGGCTGCATTTTCAACAGCATCTGCCCATGAAGTTGTCATTTTCTCAAAAAAAAAAAAAAGACCCCACTTCCGAAATTATCTGCAATGGTCAACAAAATAAAAATGGCAGCTTGATGACAAAGGACAAGAAACCATATAACCAAGAGTAGAAAAATAAGATCTTTAGAGAATGAAATGAAATCAATATAAAAGAAGAGCGGATCGGTCAATAAAATTTAAGTTAAAGGGGAAAATGACTACAGAATCAAGAAACAGGAAAATAAGCTCGGATAGACCAATGAAAAACAAAATCAGCAAAACGAATCCGCCTTTCTCACCAACTCTCCTTCAATCTCACACCAAACAAAACAAAACAAAAAAAAAAGATGAATTCTCCACCATAACTTGAGTAGCCAAGAAATTGTAGAAGCGCGTGCAATGTGTGGACACACACATTAAGTAGATAGAGAGGGAGAGAGACCAAACCTGAGATTGAGAGAGATCAGCAAAATGTATATCGGCCTTTGTAAAGGAGAAAGGAGGGTGAGAATTAAAGGATTTTTGAAAACCCTAGGCTAGAGCCAGAAAATATAGGAGCAAAACACACAAAAATCGGACAATAATAAGAAAGCGAAACAATAGGAGGATTTTCGAAACTTTATTAGTAGTATATTTTAAGCCATCTTGTTTAGGACATTTTTATTTCCTCAAGACAAGACAAGACCAGATGTGTTTCTTCTGTAACTTTCAACTTTATTACCACCAACTGTATTGCTTCTGTAACTTTCAACTTTATTACCACCAACTGTAGACACTGTAAAAACGTGCCCCTTTCTTTTCTCCTTGGTTTTGAGTTTGACTTTTAGAATTCTGTCCAAGCTGGCCACCTTCTTTAATTTGTTTTGTTTATTTAATAGCTTTGTGTAACATGTTTTGTTTAGCAATTTAAGTGAAGTAACTAGTGTTGCAAACGAACAGAACGTTCGCGAATAAAAGCTCGTTCGTATTCGTTTAAGGCTCGTTCGTATTCGTTTAAGGCTCGTTCGTTTAATAATCGAGTCGAGCTCGAACATGAAATTGAGCTCGTTTATTATTCGAACGAACACGAACATGTTCGCGAACAAAAACGAGTGTTCGCGAACATTATAATAATAATAATAATATTAACAATATAATGATAATAATAATAATAATAATAAAGTAAATAACTAATATAGTAATATAATATGCACTTACACATTTACTTCTCACTTCTCGGTCTCTAATTCTCTACTCATTTTTCGGAACCCTAATACTCTCTCCCTGTCAGATCTCAACTCTCTCCCTCTCTAAAATCGACATCGTCGCACCCACCCGACTCTATCGGCCCGTCGTCCTCAAGTAGTTTTCCGGCGATCTGCTCCACGCTCACCCTCAAGCAGTCAAGCTGTCCAACTCAAGGCTCGGGATCTGGTCCACCCTCGCCTCGTTCACGGCCCGATATCAGCTCCACCCTCGCCCTCAACACAAGGCCACAAGTTGTGACTTGACGGAGATCTGCTTCTTCCACCTTAGTTCCTTATATCTTGAAGCCCGACCCGGGACGCTGCTTCAGTAAGGACCACACGCATAGTTAAATTTGATTTTGGGCCAATCTTCCTGAATTTCCCTCAATTTCTTGCTTTTGTTTATGTATATTTCTTGCTACTGAATTTGGATGTTTATTAAGAAATATAATTTGCTGGAATTTAACTTATTTTTATTTGCACTTCTATATTTGGTAATTGTTATTTTGGTTTTGTATTGATTGTCACTGTTCATATATAATAGCTGGCAAGCTTTGATAATCAAACTATTCGAACAAGTCGAGCTAATCGAACGCTCGAAAAGTTAAAAAAAAAAATCGATTAGTTAAACGAGCCGAACACGAACGAACACAAACTTAACGAACAATTAAACGAACAAAAACGAACAAAAGTTCAGTCTCGACTAATAAACGAACGAACTCAAACATGTTTGAATATTACTCAAACTCGAGCTCGAACAGCCCAAGCTCGGTTCGGTTCAGTTCATTTACAGCACTAGAAGTAAGTATTAATTTTTTTTTTATCGTTAAATGTAAATATATACAGATCAAAATTGGGTTCACAAGACCGGTTAACGGCATACAAAAGCGTAATGGGCAACCACAAGTCAGTTCCTCATTCGCGAGATAAATATATGAGGACAACCACACGGTTGCTCACTCAGAAGTCCCGAGAAATTAAATACAAAAGGTCCCCAGGGGATATGGCATTACATCGGCTGCACATCAGCAATACAAAGAATGGGACAACGCATGGGATTTCTGTTGCGACATTAGTTGGAATCACGCCTTAGCGGCGCTTTGCACCAAAGCGGTGTTTGTAGTATTTTTGGGCATGTGGTAACCGAGTTACCCGACTCGGGTCGTTCTCAAAGGAAGGCTCTTCGGAGCTTCGTTCACTATCTAGTCGTCAAAGTCACACAACCGAAAAGGTCCTAAACATTCTACTCGCAATTTGAGGGTTTGAATTTAAACTAGATTAATCTACGAAATGAGAGCAATTGAAAGCAATTAACTAAGCACGCAAGAAGATGAGAGAAATCAAGGGAGAAAGACAATTTTGGTTCGCCGGAGTCTCTATGATCAAACACGAACAAATAACCGAACATTGCCATGCTAGCTAAAACCCTAGGAAGCTAAATCAAACTCTAGCACAAGACGAGCAAGCATTCAACTCCTAATCACACTTAGTCAAGCATTCACGATCTAAAGATTCAATCTTTTCCTCCAACCAACACAAGCACAATATCAATTTTCACGAAAGCAAACAAAGATATACGAAGTAATGAGGCTTAAGACTAAGTACCCACTCTTGCACGCACTTGGAAGAAGAAACGGAGTCAAAAGCTCAAAACTTTACTCGAAACAATATTGCCGGAAATTCGCCGGAAAACTTGATTCATATGCTCCAAACCAAAATATAAAAAAAGGAAAAAAGAAAATAGAGAGAATTTTTCCAACTTAAAAGTTGGGAAATGAGGGTTGTATTCAAAAATACAAAACATAATGTCTTTATATAGCTACACCACAAACACACACTAAAACACACACATTTAACAATTTAGCACTCGCTAGGTAGCGAACTAGTTCGCTAGGCGAATTGGTCTTGTGGTCTTGTGCACACTCGCTAGGCGGCGAACGCGTTCGCTAGGCGAACTGGTCTTGTGATCTTGTGCACACTCGCTAGGCAGCGAACGCGTTTGGTAGGCGAACTGGTCTTGTGGGTCTTGTGCACACTCGCTATGCGGCGAACACGTTCGCTAGGCGAACTAGACTTCCCGATCTCTTGCACAGTAATGACTCGATAATGGCTCGGGGGTTCTCGGAATGGTTCATGCTCTTGGAACTTGGCTCGATTCTTTTCTTTCATCTTCTAAAATGGACCTAAAAATTGCACCAAAAACACGAGAAAGTACGCCAAAATACAAATACCAAAGAGAAAATAAAAACACACGGGATCAACTAAAATGGACCGGTTAGACAAGAAAGCAAACCTAAACCGACTCAGCTATACACATAAAACACATAAAAAGAAGCACAAAAATACAACAAACAAGCGGCGCTAGGGGTCGTTAGCGCCGCTATCGCATAGCGGCGCTTCAAACACTAATCCCACGCTAAGGATGATAGTGGCGTTAAGTGTGCGGGCCTTAGCGGCGCTAGCCCGCCATTCCTTTAAGTGTGTGGGCCTTAGCGGCGCTAGCCCGCCATAGCGGCACTAGCACCTGGGAGCAAGAAAACGTTTCAGCATCTTCTTTAATTGAACTCATCATCCCAGGCGGACCGCCCCCATCAACCTCAACTCTCAAAACCCAATATCGAGGTAAGACATTCTCAAAAACCGAGGCCCCGCCTCTCAAACTCGGCAAGCACATTAGAATAGAGAGCAAAGATAGTGCGATAAACATGGGTTTTTACCTTCTGGATCACAAGGCTTGGTGGTTGGTATTCATTTTCGAAGATCAACTGGTTCCTTGCATTCCAAATGAAGTACACGGTAGCCGCAAGCACCGTTTTCTTCAACTTGGACCTCCAACCCGCTCCTCGCGCCTCCTTCTTGGTCCATTTAAGGGCACCTTTAAGGGTCGATGGTCTACGACAGAGGTTAACCCAAGTACGAATTTCACCCCAAATCTCCGAGCTAAAGGAACACTCAAAAGAAAAGGTGGCTCAAAGATTCATTCGTGATGCCGCATAGATAGAAAATCGGGTCTTCGTCAAGGAATTTGAGTCGATCTTTTGTCCGGAGTCTATTAAGCACACCCAACCATACAATTGGAGAGTGGCCTTGGTTTCGAGGTCGTCGAGTTGATCGTGGAGTACTTGTTGTGCAATATTGAGGGCATTCTTCGCTTCTTTAGCCCGGGAGGAGCTATGGGATAAGACCTCCTCATTAAGAGCCTTAAGCGAGCTCTTCAAGTTAGTCGCAAGACGAAATTGCCTCGAGCCCCCGCCCCAATGATTCCAATTGTTTTGGATACTCGACAAAAACTTCTCATGTCGTCCATATATTAAAGAACCTACATGGTGATCCGGTAGTGTTCTTCGCCTCACATATAGTAACTATGCACAGAGACTGATATGAGATACCCTGAGCTAGGTAGGTCGCATGCGAGAATAGTGTTTGTCCCATTTTTGTTGTACTTTTCTTTGCTATTTTATCATTCTTTTTCACCCAATTTGAGTCATTTAGTTGGTTTTTAGGTTGTTTTGTCGTTTATTGCATGTTTTGCGTTATTTTGAGTGTCTTGGTGTGTTCCGTTTGTTTTCGGTGGTTTTTGGTTTTGTTTTCATTTTCAGTGTGCAGGTAGGAAGCTCCGATAGGACAGGTTTTCAAGAAAATATTTGATAATTTTACATAGTTAGATAGAGGGGTTCATTAGCGACGTGTAGAAAAAAACGGAACTCAATTCCGAGTTAAAACGAACCCGAACGAGCAAAAACCGTAAAGTCGTGCAGTGCAGATTTCATCGCCGCGGCCGCGACCCTTTCTTCA